GGCTCAGCGGTAGCGCCTGGTATGCGTGCGGCCTGGGTTCGATCCTCAGCACCACATACAAACAAAGATGTTGTGTCCGCCGATAACTAAAAAAATAAAATATTAAAATTCTCTCTCTCTCTCTCTCTCTCTCTCTCTCTCTTTCTCTCTCTTTAAAAAAAAAAAAAGAAAATGTTCGGAGATTTTTATTTCCACCTTTATCTCCCAAGGAGTTCTCTGGATTTTGGGCTGTCTTGCATTGCTGTGGGAATAGTTGCTTTAATTTTCTTTCAAGATTTTTATTTTAGATCCTGGAAACCTTTGCTTCTAAAAACATCACTAAGCAGTTCATTTTTTTATTAGATCCCTTTGTGTATTAATGAAAATAACTCTTACACATATATTATTATTTTATGTGGTATTGTTGAATTTTAATAGTGCTTTATATTCATGAACATTTTAGGTTTTTATACAATCAATTTCCTTGATATATGTTTGTTTGTTACTGAGGATTGAACCCAGGGGAACTTAACCATTAAGCCACATCCCCAGCACATTTTATATTTTATTTTGAGATAGGGTATTGCTAAGTTGCTTAGGGCCTCACTAAGTTGCTGAGGCTGTCTCTGACCTTCTGATCCTTCTGCCTCAGGCTCCCAGACTACTTACAGGTGTGTGCTACCAGGCCTAGCTTCCTTGATGATTTTCATTTGTGATATAATCAGTGTTATTTTGTTTTGTAAATTTTTTTAAAGTTGTTGATGGACCTTTTTTTTATTCATTTATTTATGTGGTGCTGAGAATTGACCCCAGTGCCTTAGACATGCTAGGTAAGCGCTCTACTACTGAGCTACAACCCCAGCCCATAATCAGTGTTTAAAAGAAGTAATATTAGAACTGGGGGTGTGGCTTAGTGGTAGAGCACTTTTAATATTTTTAAATTTTTTTAAGATTTTTTTTTTAGTTATAGATGGACATGATATCTTAGTTTCACCTTTTTTTTTTTTTTAATGTGGTGCTGAGGATCAAACCCAGTGCCTCACACATCTTACACATGCGAGGCAAGCGCTCAACAACTGAGCTACAATCCCAGCTCTGAATTTTTTTTTTTTTTACATTTAAAATTTTGATAAATCTGGTAAATATTTTATCAGGTAGGTATTTTTGTTTTCCCTTTTATGTGCTGCTGTTAACTATTTTTCTTTTAGCAATTAAAATGCCTTTGTCATATGTTGTTACATATACTAAAGTATGTTTTATTTGTTTCTCTATCTGGTGGCAGGTATTACTACATCTAGACTACTTCTAGGAATAAGGAATCATTTGACTTTTATTTTTCTTAAGCTAGAAATACTCAAAATAACCTTTCCATAGCTTTATTACTCTGTAGATACAGAATATAAACATCAGAATAATGAACTAAAATAAGTCTATTTTTAAAAATCAGATATAAGGATCATTACTAGAACCTAGAACCTCAGTTTCCCCTTCTCTATGTTAATCTTTAGGTCTTCTATTAAAAGATTTAAAATCTCCCATTTTTTGTTTTCTTAATTTTCATTATTTCAAGAGGCAGTTTATTGTAAGGTATTAAGAATATGGATATAAGAACAGACTGCCAGAGGTCAAATTCCTGCATTGCTTTCTTCGGTGGCAGTGGGGATTGAACCCAGGGTGCTGTACCACTGAGCTACATTCCCAGCCCCTTAAAAAAAAAAGAAAAGAACAAGAAATGTGTGTGTGTGTGTGTGTGTGTGTGACATTTATTTATTTATTTATTTTAAATTTTGAGACAGGGCCCAGGTTGGCCTTGAATTTGTGATCTCTTGCCTTAGCTTCTCTAGTGCCTGGGATTACAGGAAAGTGCCACAGTGCCTTGCCTAACATTTCTTAATTGTATGATTTTGAGCATGTTATTTAACTTCGTATGTTTCAGTTTCCACGTCTGTAAAAGGACAAAATGACTGACTTATGAAAAGCACTGAGAACAGTCCTTGTCTCATATAAGACCTCTATAAGAATTAGGGGCTGGGATTGTGGCTTCGTGGTAGAGCACTTGCCTAGCACATGTGAGGCCCTGGGTTCAATTCTCAACACCACATATAAATAAATAAAATAAATGTCCATTGCTAACTAAAATAATAATAATAATAATAATTAAGTGCGATTTAGTTGTTGAATCAAACCCAGGGCCTCACATTCTAGACAAGCTCTCCACCACTGAGCTATAACCCCAGCTCTAGATGCTGTTTTTATACGAGATTGTTATTAAAAAAAAAAAAACCTTTAGATCATACATTGTATTAATTTGCACTTATTGGTTAAATTTGGTAAGGATGAAGCAATTAAACTTAAATAAAAAAATTATTATCCTCTTCCCACAATTTAAATGTGAACCCATTTTTACCTAGAAAATTTAAATTTCAGTATATAGAAATGTTGGTGCTTGTAATAGGGAATATTTTGAAACTGTAACTAAGGCAGCAATTATCCTAAATTCTATTTTCAAATCTCACTTAGTAGAATAGACCAATTTTCAGTCATCAAAGCGATATTGTTAAAGTCATAGAACATATAAAATTGAGTTTATGTATTTTCAACTAGTGAATACAGGCAAAATGGTTATATAACTTGTTTTCATTTTTTCTGTCTTATAAAAGAAATTCTAAGCCTAAAGTTGGGTAATGATGAGTCAGTCATTTTGGTAAGAAGCTTAAGCTTTTTAACCTTAGTGTTTTTGGAATATGTATATTTATCTTTTTTTAATATTTATTTTTTAGTTGTAGTTGAACACAATACCTCTGTTTCACTTACTTATTTTTATGTGGTGCTGAGGATCGAACCCAGGGTCTTACACTGCAAGGCTTTCACTGTACTGTTGAGCTACAACCTCGACCCTTTTTTTTAAAAAAAGAATTTCTGTTTTAGTTGTAGGTGGACACAATACCTTTGATTTGTTTATTTTTTTATGTGGTGCTGAGGATCGAACCCAGTGCCTTACACATGGTAGGCAAGCGCTCTACTACTGAGCCACAGCCCCAGCCCCAGCCCCTGTATATTTATCTTGATAACTATATTTGTGGTTCTGCCCCAAATCAGAAGATTATCACATTATGTAGCTTACAAATAAGAATTTGGTTGTAAATTCTCAGTTTTATTTTCCTTGAGTTATTCTGTATTGGTTAATAGGAAAATATTACAATGATTGATTAATAGTTTTATGAGGCTTATTTTTCTGTAGCAGAAAACAATAATCCCCCAAATAGTAAATCTTTCCTTATAAAGTTTTTTAAGGTACCAGGGATTGAATTCAGGGGCACTTGACCCCTGAGCCACATCCCTAGCCCCTTTTTGTATTTTATTTAAAGACAGGGTCTCACTGAGTTGCTTGGTGCCTCACCATTGCTGAGGCTGGCTTTGAACTCTTGATCCTCCTGTCTCAGCCTCCCAAGCTGCTGGGATTACAGGCATATGCTACTGTGCCCTGCTCCTCATGAAGGTTTTAATGTTAATATAAATTTTCTAACCATTATGTGAATTTAATCACATGATAATCTGTTCCTTCTTTCCTCCAGCAATTGTCATGGATTTTTTTTATAGCAGTCATTATGAACTCTTTCTAAAGTCCCATGTTATTTATATAGTATATGTAAATTCAAAAGTATTTGTTACAGGGTCTGGAGGGTGTATTTGTCTCTTTTTGACCATGTGCATGTATTATTTGAGAGAAAAATTTTAACATATTTTTAGAAATATTCTTTAAAATAACAGTTCTGAAAAATCAATGTATAAATGAGTTGGACAGTTAGAAATCCTGCCATACTCCTAGGGTACTGGTGAAGATATCATGTCCAGAAGTAAACTAAGGTTCTTTAGATGGTTATAAGAACTTCTAGTGGAGCATATTGACAGCTGTGTTTTCTGGACACTGTCTTTACTATTATTTTATTTTATTTTTCTTGGGGATTGAACTCAGGGCCTTGTACAATGCTAGACACATGCTGTACCACTGAGTCACATCCCCAGCCTCGCCCCCCTTTTTTATAATTTAACTATCCAATTTTGATAAACCCAATTTGTCTCATTATCCCAGTATGGAACACCTAAAAAACCTTAATTGAACAATAAATATTAACCTATTTTAATGCACTTGTATTGTTGAAATATTCACAGAATTAAAAACTTGGACTTGATGGATTAAGGAAAAAAGTTATGGTTTTAAGTTTCTTGAATAATGGGCTTATGTTTAATGTTATTATATTAAATATCATAATATATAATATTATATAAATTTGGGGAGGTATCAGGGATTGAACTCAGGGGTACTCAACCACTGAGCTGCATCCCCAGCCCTATTTTGTATTTATTTAGAGACAGGGTCTCACTGAGTTGTGTAGTGCCTCACCGTTGCTGAGGTTGGCTTTGAACTCATGATCCTCCTGCCTCTGCCTCCCAAGCCACTGGGATTTCAGGTGTGCGCCAATATAAAATATTATTATATGGCACTTAGTAATGCTTACCATGTTTTAGGTACCACTACAGTGTTTTGGTGTTTGTTTGTTTTTTAATGAGGTATTGGGGATTGAACTCAGGTTCTTGGGCAAGATAGAAAACTCCTGAACTACTTCCCTAGCCTGTGTTTTCCAAATATTAATTCTTTCTTAAAATTTATTTCATTTATTTTTTTAGTTGTAGATGGACACAATACCATTTATTTATGCGTTGCTGAGGATCGAATCCAGTGCCTCACATGTGTGAGGGGAGCATTCTGCCACTGAGCTATAGCTTCAGCCCTCCAAATATTGATTCTTAACATTTACATAAAATTAGTGAACTGTTATTATGTGAATTGTGGGAATTTGTTAAATTAGTATTCCATTTTTCTTATTCTAAGCGTCTTTCCTGATAGTATTTTGTAATTATTGTGACTTTAAATCTTACTCATTAAAACTACAAATATTTAAAAGTAGAAATTAAAATTAAATTTAAGAATTTTAAATCATTTTTCATTTTTATTTCAGCTTTACCAACAGGGACGTTTATGTCAACTGGGCAGTGAATTTTGTGAGTTGGAAGTTTTTGCTAAAGTATTGAGAGCTTTGGATAAAAGGTAAATTTTTTAAAGAAAATTCCTGTAAAATATGCATAATATAGAATTTACCATTTAACAGTTTTTAAGTATACAATTCACTGACAATGAGTATATTCACCTTGTGCAACTATCAACACTATCCATTTTCAGAAAATTTTCGTCATCCCTAATGAAAACTCTGTTCCCATTAAATAACTCCCATTCCCTTCTTTCAACTCTGAAGCTGCCATTCTACTTTCTGTCTCTGTGAGTTTGCTGTTTCAGGTACCTCATATAAGTAGGATCCTGTATTTGTTCATTTGTTTATGCCTTATTTGATTTAGCATATGTTTTTAAGGTTCATTTGTGTTGTAACGTGTCAAAATTTCATTCCTTTTTGAAGTTTGATAATATCCCATTGTGTATATATGCCACAGTTTGTTTATGCATTCATCAATCAGCGGATATTTGAGTTGTTTCCACCTTTTAGCTAATATGGATAAAAATTCTGTGAACATGGGTGTAGAAATAACTCTTCAAATCCTTGCTTTCAGTGTCTTTGGTTAAGTATACCAAGTGGAATCACTGGATCACTGGTAGTTCTATTTTAAATATTTTGAGGAACATTCATGTTATTTACCATAAATTCATTTTAATTGGCTTTTTAAAATTAAGTCTATGTAATGAGAAAGTAGTTCTTAAATATGATCATATCAGAAAACTTAGAATGAAATAAAATTGCCTTTATAAATTGGGGAACCAGTAGGTTCATTTTGCTTGTTTTAGGTAAATTCATACAGTATGTACACTTTTGTGTCTGCCTCTCCATCCACCCCAACATCATGTTTATGAGAATCATCTATTTATTATAGTCTGTTCATTCTCATTGATATATATGTACAATGTTCCATTATATGTCATTACTTATACTGTTGTTAGATATTTGAGCTGTTTGGTTTTTAGCTATTATAAACAGCTGCTACATTTATCCATGTACAAGTCTTTTGGTGAACATATATGCATATCTATTAGATACACCTGGAAGTACAATATGAAAGCATTTTAAGAGTTACAACTCAAGACCAGTTAGCATGATAAAGAAAATGATCACAGTAATTTTACAATTCAAACAAGTTTGGTGACAATGAGAATTTGTTCACTTGCCTCCATCTTCTTTGGAAAGTTAATACTCTGTAAATTTAGCTTTTTTTTTTTTTTTAATTATTTTTTCAGTTGTAGTTGTACACAATACCTTTATTTTGTTTATTTTTATGTGGTGCTGAGGATTGAACCCAGGGCCTTGCACATCTAGGGAAGTGCTCCACCGCTGAGCCAGAACCCCAGCTCTGTAAATTTAGCTTTTGAGTTCAAGAATTTAGCTTCCTCATTATAGGAGGTTGAGTGTGGGGGGGGGTGCTGGGGATTAGAACCCAGGGCCTTGTGCATTTAAGGCAAGCACTCTACCAATTGAGCTATATCCCCAGCCCTCATTATAGGTATTATGAAGTAGGAGCCACAAAGAGATAATCTGGTCTTTGATTATAGTTGCTGTTCTCTTCTATGAATTCACTTCAACTGCAATTTTTTTTCACCTAACCTTTCTTCCTTTGTTTCTTTCTTTCTACTATCTCTTTCTTTCACAACAGGAATTGAATCTAGGGGCACTTAACCACTGAGCCACATACCAGCTCTTTTTATATTTTTTATTTAGAGGTAGGGTCTCACAAGTTTTTTAGGGCCTTCCTAAATTGTTGAGGCTGGCCTTGAACTATCAATTCTCCTGCTTCAGCCTCTTGAGCCACTGGGATTACAGTGCACCACCACTCCCAGCCCTAATCCACATTTCTAAAGAAATCAGAATAAGCTTTCACAAACTGGTTGCACTGGTGCACTCCTGTAATCCCAGATACTCAGAAGGCTGAGGTAAGGAGATTGCAAGCTTGAGGTCAGCCTCAACAATTTTGTGAGACTCCTTTTCAAAATAAAAAGCTGGCCATGTAGCTCAGTGATAAAAGCACCCCTGGGTTCAGCCCACAGGATCTCCCTACCCCTCCTCAAAAAAAAGAGAGAATATGTACTTTCACAAAACACTGCTGATCTTGAATGTGAATATTGCTAAATTATTTGATTTGTTCAGCAAGTTAACTAAGTAAATATTTGTTGAATGCTTAGGATGTGCCAGGTACTGTTCTGTATGCTAAGATTACAGCAGTGGATAAGAACTACGAGGTTCCTTCCTCATAGTCTGTATTTTTTTAAAAAAATTTAGTTGGACACAATACCTTTTATTGATTGATTGATTGATTGATTTTTATTATTGGTTGTTCAAAACATTACATAGTTCTTGACATATCATATTTCATACATTTGATTTAAGTGGGTTATGAACTCCCATTTTTACCCCATATATAGATTGCAGAATCACATCGGTTACACATCCACTGTTTTACATATTGCCACACTAGTGTCTGATGTGTACTGCTGCCTTTCCTATCCTCTATTATCCCCCCTCCCCTCCCATCTTCTCTCTCTACCCCATCTACTGTAATTCATTTCTCCCCCTTGTTTTTTTTCCCTTTCCCCTCACTTCCTCTTATATGTAATTTTGTATAACAATGAGGGTCTCCTTCCATTTCCACGCAATTTCCCTTCTCTCTCCCTTTCCCTCCCACCTCTCGTCCCTGTTTAATGTTACTCTTCTTCTCATGCTCTTCCTCCCTGCTCTGTTCTTAGTTGTTCTCTTTATATCACAGAAGACATTTGGCATTTGTTTTTTAGAGATTGGCTAGCTTCACTTAGCTTAATCTGCTCTAATGCCATCCATTTCCCTGCAAATTCCGTGATTTTGTCATTTTTTAGTGCAGAGTAATACTCCATTGTGTAATAATACCACTTTTTTTTTATCCATTCATCTATTGAAGGGCATCTAGGTTGGTTCCACAGTCTAGCTATTTAAATTGTGCTGCTATGAGCATCAATGTAGCAGTGTCCCTGTAGTATGCTCTTTTTAGGTCTTTAGGGAATAGACCGAGAAGGGGAATAGCTGGGTCAAATGGTGGTTTCATTCCCAGCTTTCCAAGGAATCTCCATACTGCTTTCAGCAATGTACAATTATTTATTTATTTTTATGTGGTATTTAGGATTAAACCCAGGGTCTTACATGTGCTAGGCAAGTGCTCTGCCACTAAGCTACAGCCCCACAACTCCCATCACCACTATCTTAATTTTAGAACATACCATCATTCCAAAAGGAAAAAATGTTAAGTCACTCCCTATTTCCTCTTAACCTTAATCCCTAGCTGATCATTAATCTTTATGTCTTTATGGATTTGCCTATTCTAGATATTTCATATAAATGGAATCATACAATATGTGTCTTTTTGATTGACCCTTTCACTTAGTGTAATATTTTCAGGGATATTATTATTTATGTTGTTCCTACGACTGAATAATTTTGTGTTATATGGATAATACTCTTGTTTATCCAGTCTTTCATTGATGAATGGATGGGGTTGTTTATATATCTTAGTTATTATGAATAATGTTGTGGTGAACCTTCATTGATAAGATTTTGTGGACATATTCTCATTTTGGGAGGTATGTGCCTGGGGTGTATACATATGGTAACCCTATGTTTAACTTTTTGAGGAGCTACCAGACTTTATTAGAGCATCTGCACCATTTTACATTCCTATCGCTAATGTATAAGGGTTCCAGTTCTTCCAGATCTTACCAATACTTAAAAAAAAAAAAGTTATGACCTTTTTCTTGGATGGGAAGTGGTTTCTCATTATGATTTTGATTTACGTTTCCATTACCACTAATGATATTGTCTTATGTTTATTGACTGTGGATAGATCTTTGGAGAAATATCTGTTCAAATCCATTGCCCATTTTTAATTGAGTTCTTTCTTTTCTTTTTTTTTTTTAAACTGGAGATTAAATTCAGGGGCTTTACTATTGAGATATATTTATATTCCCCAGTCTTTTAATTTTTTTTTTTTTTTTTTTAATTTGTGACTGAGTTTTCTAAGTTGCTGAGGTTCGCCTTGAACTTGCAATCTTCCTGCCTTCGTCTCCCAGGTCACTGAGATCATAGGCATTCACCGGTGTGCCTGGTGATGGGCTAAATTTTTAATTTACTATAGCTTCATAATTCATAAGGCAAAATGCTTTCTATCTCATTTTATCTTGGAAAATAATGATACTAATATTAATAGAGAAAAGCAACTAGCTTTCTAAAAGGAAAGAAATAAGATTCCTCTATTAAATGTTTTTTTCTTTTTCAGACATTTGCTTCATCATTGTTTTCAGGCTTTGATGGATCATGGTGTTAAAGTTGCTTCAGTCTTGGCCTACTCGTTTAGTAGACGGTGCTCTTACATAGCAGAATCTGATGCTGCAGTAAAGGAAAAAGCCATTCAGGTTGGCTTTGTTTTAGGTAAGTAATACTATTAGTAGGGGAGAGTTTTATCCTGTTATGAACTCATAGTAAACCCAACAATAAAGGATTTCTCCAGGAATTTCCCAAAGTCTATATGGGGAAGTTATGAGGAAAATATCAGAAGAATTAGGTGTAATTTATTGGATATTAATGCTGTGCTAAGCACTACACTAGGTATTTAAATGGCATTATCCTAAATTCTCATGACGTTCCAGTGAAGTAATGATATTTTTTAAAAAATAATTTTTTTTAATTTATTTTTTTTTTAATTTTTTTGTAGTTGTAGATGGACTAAATGCCTTTATTTTTTATTTATTTTTTGTTTGTTTATCTTTATGTGGTGCTGAGGATCTAACCCAGTGCCTCACACATTCTAGGCAAGTGCTCTGCCACTGAGCTACAGCCCCAGTCCTGAAGTACTTTAACCTTTTACATATGAGGAAATAGAAAAGTTGAATAACCAGATCAAGTCACATAGCTAGTAAAGAGCTAAGTTTAGAACCTGTGTCTATATGATTGATTACAAAGCACATATCTTTCTGTCATGTCATGCTGCTTCCAAACTCTTTCACCTGCTTAGTATTTGCTGTGGCATGGGACTTAATCCTTTTGGGGCTCAGTTTTCTAGTCTCTAAATTGAGGATTATTCTGAATTGCTTCATGAAGATGTTGTGAGGATAATGAAAACATAAATGTAAAAGCATTCTGGAAGAGTTTTGCATGATATACATACAGAAAAAATTTGTTTATTATTTGTGAACATTTCACAAATGTATATAGATAAATAATGTTTCAAGCTTTAAATTGTTGTTATCTTCTTTCCCTATTTGAAAAAGTTATTTTTTAAAGCATATGTTCTTTTTTTGTTTATAACTTTATTTATTTATTTATTTATGGTACTGGGAATTGAATTCAGGGACACTCATCTACTGAGCACATCCCCAACCATATTTTATATTTTATTTAGTTGCTTAGTGCCTTATCACTGCTGACTGGCTTTGAACTTGTGATTCTCCTGCCTCAGTCTCCCGGGCTGCTGGGATTATAGGCATGCACCACCACACCCAGCCTATAACTTTATTTTATTTATTTTCTTATATGGTTCTGAGAATCAAACTCAGGGCCTCACATGTGCTAGGCAAGCACTGTGAACCCAACCACTGAACCCAACCCCAGCCCTAAAAAGTTATTTTTTAAAAATAACTTATTTTGAGGGGCTGGGGGTGTGGCTCAAGTGGTAGCGTGCTCGCCTAGCATGCATGAGGCACTGGTTTCGATTCTCAGCACCACATAAAAACAAAATAAAGATATTGTGTCCATCTTAAAAAATATATATATATATTAAAAAAAATTTAAAAATAATTAACGTGGGCATATTTTCTCTCTCTTGTGTGCACACATATTTTGCCAGCAAGTTTTCAAGATCATTTCCTTCAGTCTTTAAACAGTTCTTCGTAGTGGTCTTTCCAGTTTGCTGGGCGAACTTCAAAACATTCTTTTCTGAAAAGAATCTACAGCTTTTATCCTTGAATTGGCTCATGGAAGTTTGGGAAAAAAAGGATTGTTTAAAGAATGTCTCTGAAAATAGAGAATATATGATCTTGACCGATGTTAACAGTGACATCCCTTTAGTTCTAGAAGGTAATATGAAAATTGCTATAGAAAAAAATTTATTATCAAAAAAGGTGAAAGACAGGAAAGGTGATATTCATTGAGTTTTTCTGTCATATCCACATGTATGTACACCAACCTGGCCATTGTGATGTGCTAGATAGATATCTTGGAGATAGAACCAAGCCCTTGCAACTTCAGAATCATATCATCAGACTTAATTATGAAATCATTCAGAGAGTGAAGAAACTTTATGCCAGAAGTACACAGTAGTAAAGATTTTTTAAATAATAATAACCTTTTTGGGACATAATTCTTAAACAGTATAATTTGAACATATAATGTGTACTTTTCAGTGATATTCCATATACTCACAGATTTTATAGACATCATCAGAGTAGGTTTTAGAACAATCCCATCACCCCAATAGAAACCTATACCCTTTAACAGCCATTCCTCATTTCCTTCTTATTCCAGGCCAATATCAGTCTACTTTTTCTTTCTATAGATTTACCTATTGTAAATTATTCATATAGACTCATAAAACATATGGTCTTTGTGACTAGCTTGTTTTAGATAGCATAATGTTGTCAAGGCTTATCCTTGTTATAGAGATAGAATTTAATATAACAAATTTTTTAAAGATTTTTTTAAGACGGACACAATATTGTTACTTTATTTACATTCGTATGATGCTGAGAATTGAACCCAGTGCCCCATATGTGCGAGGCAAGAGCTCTACCAGCCCTGATATCACAAATTTTTATTAGAGCGCTGAAAATATAAAAAGGGAACCCCTGGAATGTTTTTATTATGAATAATAGCAACTCCAAGAATCAGCTACTACATTTGAGCTTAGGGAACCAAACAAATAAGTTTTTAATGTGTAATTCTTTTGATGCTAGGGATTGAACCCAGGGACACTTTACCACTGAGCTACATCCCCACTTTTTAACATCTGAATACAAGGTCTTTCTAAGTTGCTGAAAGTCATACCAGGTTGCTAAGGCTGGCCTGCAGCTTGCTATCCTCCTGTGTCCCAACTCATTGGGATTACAGGCATTTGCCACCATGCCTACCTAATTGTGAAAATTTAAAGCTTGAAGAACTGGAATGCTGCAACATTGATACCAGTGCCTCAAAGCTCTGAAAAGGGGGGCTGGAAAGGGGGTCCAAGAACTAGCAACAGGCTAGCTGTTGCTGGTATTATTGACAGTGTGCTATGAAACTGGTTTTGCAAGTGTTGGAAAAGTCTAAGTGGAATTGACTGCTACTGACTGCAATGAACTGCCACTGCCACAGTGAAGAAACATATTCCTGTCAGCAATAGGAAAAGGTGTTACTTGCTTTTCCAGTCTTGGAGCCCCCGCTCTCTAGCACTTCCTATTGGCAGAACCCAACAGGAAGCCAGGTAAAGAAGGAGAAATGTGGTTTGAAGAATTCTTGCCTTGGGCTGGGGATGTGGCTCAAGTGGTAGCACGCTCGTCTGGCATGTGAGCGGCCCGGGTTCAATCCTCAGCACCACATACAAACAAAGATGTTGTGTCCGCCGAGAATATAAATAAATAAATATTAAAATTAAAAAAAAAAAAAAAGAATTCTTGCCTCAACATCATAAAGTCTAGAAAGGAGATTTGAAGCTGAGAGCCAGCATGATAACCAGCACATTATATAGTACATTGGTACGATAAGTAGAAGGTTGCTTAGTACAAATATTTATAATAATCTTCTTATTCTAGTTTAGTCTCTTGGAAAGGGCCCTAAAATGTTCTAAAGCACAATTCTTTCCAATTAATGAAATAATATTTAGCTGTATGTTGCTTTAATTAAACATAAAACAGGGCAAGGTTGTGACTCAGTGGTAGAGTGCTTGCTTGGTATATGTGAGGCACTGGGTCTGATTCTCAGCACCACATAAAAATAAATAAAGATATTGTATCCATTTACAATTAAAGATATTTTTTAAAAAACATAAAACATGGGTATGAGGAAATATATGTTGTTGGCTGACTCATTAACATTATTAAAATGACACACCATATATTTTATGCTACCAAGAAAAAAAATGCTACCACTATTAATGTTAGACACCAATTTTATGATCTGTCCTAATTTTAAAGATTCTAAAACATTAAAAAAGAGCTAGGTGCACTTGCACATGCCTACAATCCCAGTTGACTTGAGAAGCAGGCAGAAGGATTATAGTTGAAGGTCAACCTCAGCAACTTAGTGAGACCTGGTCTTAAAATAAACAGTAAAGGGGCTGGTGATGTGGCTCAGTGGTAGGGACTTGCCTAGCACATGTGAGACACTATGTTTAATCCTTAAAATCCACATAAAAATAAATAAATAAAGGTATTGTGTCTGTCTGCAACTAAAAAAAAATTATATTAAATAAATAAATAAAAAGGACTGGTGATGTAGCTTAGTGTTAAAGTACCCCTGGGTTTAATTCCTAGTACCTTAATTAATTAAAAATATAAAAAATGTGCAAAGTATGTGTTTTAGGATTGAAAAATATAGTAGTTTTGTTTTCTGACTATTGTTAACTAATGCTGAGTAGCAACTTGAAAGTGTTCTTCATAATAGCAGATATAGATTTAGCCTCTGAAGTCACATAGTGTGAATTTGAGTCTTTCCACTTATCAACTTGTAACTTGGTTTCTCTGCCTGAAGTCCCCCTCCCTCCCCATATTAAGTTGAGGCAATAAGGTTTGTGGCTCAGCGGTAAAGCGCTCACCTAGCATGTGTGAGGCCCTGGGTTCCATCCTCAGCACCACATAAAAATAAATAAATAAAATAAAGGTATTGTGTCAAATACAACTAAAAAATATTTAAGAAAAAAAGTTGGGGCAATAATAGCATTTAAGTTGAAAGTGTTTTGTGAAGATTAGATAAGAAAATTCCTGAGGAATGGTTACCATAATGATACAAAGTAGTTTGTGCAGTGTAGTAAAATGCATCATTAGCCATTTTTTGAGATCAGGATCCTTCAAAAAACAAAACAAAACAAAAGGACGGTATTTTGAGGTAATTGTCTAATACATTAAAGCTATTGCTAGTCAGTAAATTAGTTTCTTGCCAAAAGAATGAGATGACAAACATCACCATCCCTTTTATGTGTATATTTATCTATGATGAGTAAGAAGAATGAGTTTATAAGAGCCATTTGTCTTTGCAATAAGGCCTACGGAGATTGAAAAGTTATGTGTATACTGCAAGATGAAAATATTTGTTTTTTTAATTGAGATAATATTCACTGTAATCATGTTATTTTAGCTTTCAGGCAATTTACTAAATTGTCTAAAGTTACTTTTCTTTTTCTGCAGGTGGTTTTCTTTCAGATGCAGGCTGGTACAGTGATGCTGAGAAAGTTTTTCTGTCTTGCCTTCAATTGTGTACCTTACATGATGAGATGCTTCATTGGTTTCGTGCAGTAGAATGTTGTGTGAGGTAAGTTGGAACAGATTCTGTAATTACACACTGTGATTGTATAGTGTCTTCTACAATTTTAGCTCTTTTAAGTGTGCTTTAACATCTGTGTAAATCTGTGAGATGATATTTCTATGTCATAATTTCATTAATCTGGGCTGGGGATGTGGCTCAAGTGGTAGCGTGCTCGCCTGGCATGCGTGTGGCCCGGGTTCGATCCTCAGCACCACATACAAACAAAGATGTTGTGTCCACCAAAAACTAAAAAATAAATATTAA